AACTCACTCTAAAAAGAGAAACGCACAGACGCGCATACACGCAACTTTCATCTCTCTCCCTCTGTCTCTCTCTCTCTCTCTCTCTCTCTCTCTCTCTCGTTACCTGGATCTGAGCTGTGGATTCGTCTCGCGGCTCATTGTCGTTCACGTGCTCTCGTGGATGTGGATGCACACGGTTTCTGCGTCTCTCCGTGGCTCGGATTCGCTTCTTTTATTTCCAAAACACAAATCCCGAGGGAAATGCTCGCGGTTGTCCGGACAGCGAGCAGTCCCTCCAGTATCTGTTCCTCCGCGGACTCTGAGGATGCTGCCTCGCTGAGGATCCGTGATGGACCGTGATGATGGATAACACATGGCTGTGATGCTGGGATCATCTTCTTCATCATGTCTCCAGCGGCTCCGGTAACGGACAGCAGCGCTGTTGATGTCCTCCGCGAGCAGACGGACGCGCCGCGGGAAGCGGTGAGAGAAAACCTTTGTTACAAACCGCGACGGAAGAGAACGTTTCAGCGCTGCATTTGTGTGTGTGTGTGTGTGTGTGTAGGTGAGTGAAAGGAGATAAACACAAAGATTCATATCTATCGACTACTGAAAAATATTTTTTTATTTGTGTTCAATTTATGACTATAACGCCCCCATTATTGTAATAAAAATATTATTCATATTTCTGTTATTTCATATATACATAACAGTATCCCTGAATGTTATTAAAATAATGTTAAAAAACACTTAAATATTTTTTATTTAAAATATTTTTTAAAGATTTATTTTTGGCATTTATTTAAAATACTTTTATAATTTAATTTGAAATTATATTTTGTTAAAAAATACTGCTATTATATTATAACTTTATCATTATTATGAATATACTTAGCATTTTTGACTAACCCCGTTCTCATTATTGTAATAAAAAATTGTTTTTATATAATTTAGACAGAGTATAATTCAAATGGAAGAGTATGCATGTTATGAAAATAATGTCAATTTTTTTAGAATACTTCATTAAAATAATTACTGAATTATTGTATAAATAATTTATTATATACAATTTTATTATTATATAATTTATAGTATAATTTAAATGTAACAGTATGCTTGATTGTTATTAAAATAATGTAAAAAATTGTAAAATATTTTATTAAAATTATTCTTGAATTACTGTATAATTTATTTACATGAATTACATTATTATTATTATTATTATTATTAATAACAATATTTTAAAATTATTTTTCCTTTAAGAGTATGCTAAATTCTCTTAAATTCTGCAAAAATGGTATCATTTTAAAATAATTTTAATAAAATGATTAAATGATTAAATTACTTAAATTATTTTATGATTTATTTACATAAATGATATGTAATTTTATGTCTTTATTATTATTTATTACAGGTTTTTTCCCCCTTCTTTTCATTTTGGTGTGAAATGTGACCTGCATTTTGTGAAAACCACCCAGTGACATTTAAGTTGTTTGTAATTATTTATGATATATATTTTAGACTTTGAAAATTCATAAAACTTTGTTTGCTTATGAAGTTCTAACTTGCATGTTACCAACAGTTTAGGGCCTCCCTGATGATCTAAACCTCATGAATTGGCAGTGAGGTCGGCCTCTGTTATGTCACGTTACTAAACACCTGCGCTAAAATAGTCCGAATGAAAGTGGGACGCCTCGCTTGCACCTCCCAAAATATACAGCGACAGCAGCAGAGAGTCCTCACTATATAAGCCTTTAGCACAATACAGAGGCTTTGTTTCACTGAAGTGCTTTAGAGAACAGATCCGTCCCTAGTGCTTCAGCTTCAACTAACACAGTTAACCTAAGAGCGTGAGGAAATGTGTTTTCTCTTCTCGTGCTCTGCACTTCATTTGGCTGCTGAAAGATGGTGATTAACTGCTTTGATCATTATTTCCTCAGAAGTGTTTAAGTGTAAAATGCCCCTCTGCTCACTGAAAGCTCTCTGTTCAATAATTAGTGCAGGCTAGAAATGATGAGCATGAACACTTTTAGTCAATGAAATAGTGATTTGTTTAACTGTAATGTTTACAAAATTAGCAGGATCTAATTCATATATTCAAGATGAATGAACGACGAAAGATCAAATTAGCTCAACTTGTGAAGGTCTTGGTTGAACCTTTTTTGGCATTAACCACAAGCACACTTAGACATCAGTTAGATGTGGATTAACCTAATTGTGGTTAGGGTCGGTTTTAGTTTAGTTTGAATTAGATGTTATTTTTATATTTTAATTTTAGTAAAACATTTCTGTTGTTTTTGTCATTTTTATTAGTTTTTATTATTATTATTATTATTAAATATATCTGTAGTTTTTAAGTTTTAGTCTAGTTTACATTTATTTAGATTGAGTTATTTAAGTGCTTCAAGTTAAATTAAACAAAAATGTGAAATGTTGTTTTGGCCGCCAGGGTTCTTATAGTTAACAAATTAAAATTTGTTAATCCAAAAAAATAACCTTTCATGACTTGAAATAAAATAAACTTTATCTGAGATATTTTAAAATATTAAAAAAAGTTATTTCGGGTAACATTTCGCATTTTCATTTTAACTTGTACTAAAATGACGTAGATGATGTAGTA